AGTGTAAGACTATAGGGAAGGCAGCTAGTCATCACCACCACCGCCAACTCTTTACCAACGAATAGTAGGGATTGAACCGTCACATTATGAACGCCCCCCACGGCTGAAAGGGCGAGCATGTTTGGTGTGACGGGGATTCGAACCCGCGACCCTCAGATTGCGAGTCGAGTGCCTTAACCACCTGGTCATGCCGGGCTAAAACATAAACAAAAGACGACGTGTGAAAGGTTTGGTATGTTTCATCAATTTTAATCGATTAAAATCTTACCAAACCGTATCCGTTATAGATAGAAAAAAACGACAGAAATTTGGTAGCTACGGAGCCTCAGAAGAGACAACACAGTTTAAACTCACAAATGCACCTCATTATTACCTCCAGTCAGGAAAGATGCCTCCGTACGTCTCCAACAACAAATACTCTGAAGATTCGACTTACAGTAGCATGTCATCAAGAAGTAACGCAGATGTTGCTTTATCAATTCAAGTAAGTTGTTTTTGTTTTTTTAATGAAATATGATACAAGAATCATCGTATATATTGTCGAGGGTTACACAATATTGCACTCAGATGGAAAATGTTTTCAATTTTAGATTAAATTAATAATATCTTGGATAGAGTTCAAGTGAAACACCACTCATTTTCGTGTTTATGGGTGCTTATGGGTGTAATGTATATGTTATTATATACACACACAGGTGGTCCGGAAAGTCTGGAATCATAGGCACTTCAACGAATTTTACAGGATGTGTTCCACATGCTGTCCTTGTTATTCGAAGCAAGCGTGGGTGTCCGCAGAAAGTTTTTCAGGGGGGGAAGTAGTGTGAAATTGTGAATTGAATACTGAATGAATAAATAAAGAATTATGTTTCTCATTTTTCAGGGGGGCAAGTCCCCCTGCGGACGCCCATGGAAGCAAGTTTAGAGACGGTATTTCCATTCTCTTTGAACACTGCGAAGTATATCGGTGTCATTGACGGTGGTCTGACACTCGTCGTGAATTCTGATCCCCAGAAAAAGAATTAAATTAAATTCGGCAGCAACCTTCCGCTGGGACCAACCTTCTCTACCCCCACAGCAGGATTAACTAGACCTTCTCGTGCTTTGACAGCGCCATTAAGAAAAGTTGCAAAATCATCTACGGTTCCAGAGTTTTCGGACACCCTGTATATAAATCACGTTATTTTGAGTTTATTAAAAAAATGTATACTTTTAGGCGTAATCGTGTTTGAATATATAGCATTGAATATTAGGGTAAATTAAAACCTTGATCGTTTTTAATAATATATATATATACAAAAATATATTTTCTGGCTTTAGAATTATAAACCTTGTCAGCATAGATGGCGGAAAATATATTTGAGGGGGAACCATCAATAATTGGGGATACCCTATTTTCTATTTTAATCGTCACCATTAAATCCAAACCTGCAATAGCGACTTTGAATGATAGTTATACACAAGTCTCTATCCTTCATTCTCTCTTTAAATGACTTTAATTGCCAATCATTTTTTACTTCCTGTGAAGGACAGGATATTATTGACTGAGTTCAATAGCCGTATTTTTCTGTACATCGTTTATACGTCATACCTCACAGTAATATTACTAAACATTTATAAAATGGTGATGTTTTATTTTCTTTTAAAAACCTTGAACAAAGTTCAACGTGATCTTAGCCGGTTTCGTAAATCGACCTTGTGTATAATATTCTGTCGTCTTAGCTGGTTTCGTAAATCGACCTTGTGTATATGTGTACAATATTCTGTCGTCTTAGCCGGTTTCATAAATCGACCTTGTGTATAATATTCTGTCGTCTTAGCTGGTTTCATAAATCGACCTTGTGTATAATATTCTGTCGTCTTTGCTGGTTTCATAAATCGACCTTGTGTATATGTGTACAATATTCTGTCGTCTTAGCCGGTTTCGTAAATCGACCTTGTGTATAATATTCTGTCGTCTTTGCTGGTTTCATAAATCGACCTTGTGTATATGTGTATAATATTCTGTCGTCTTAGCTGGTTTCATAAATCGACCTTGTGTATATGTGTATAATATTCTGTCGTCTTAGCTGGTTTCGTAAATCGACCTTGTGTATATGTGTATAATATTCTGTCGTTTTTCAGAATTTTTAGTGAGAATGGGATGAATTTAAACATTTCGGTAATAAAGTTAAAAAATCAATGTTTGTTCTATAGCCCTGATGAAACCGCAACGGCAAAATTTGACTGATTCTAGATATATATATATAAATTGAATGTGTATGTTTTTACTTAGAGCGAATCTACACCGGACATTTCTTTGACAAACGGAGACGCAATATTCAACTTTGGTCAAATCATTTTTGGTGTCAAGTACAAAGCGGTCGTAAACCAGGATGTTGGACAACTTGAGATTTTGATACAGGTTTGTGTCGTCATCTGTTATTTACAATTTTTTTTTTTTATCCTATGCGTTTAAATATAATTCCTACTATTTTGCTAAATTTATGTTTCTATTTTCGTATCTGTAGTAGAAGCAAAGCCGTGTTAAGTCACCGATGGGCCCTGAGCGAAGTATAAATTATATTACCCCCCCCCCCCCCGCTTACTCTTGCTTTTAAGAAAATACCGTACCATTCAACAAAGTAAATATACTAGGGATGAAAAAAGG